TTTTACTCCTGGGCTTAGCTTAGCACTAACGTGCGTGGGTCTTTTGATGGACTCGTCACCTAGATCAATTTATTTGAGTGGATCTTGCGCCCTCATCTTAGAATTTGGTATTGCAGGATCTTTCTCGAATCCCATAGGCTCTTCATTATAGATTGCATCTAGCTTTTGGTCTTTCCCTTCGAAGGGTGCTTCTTCGTCTAGGTTTTCTGGCTTAAAGTGCACCCCATGTCCCTTCGCATAAATAACTTCATCTTTGGCTTCGACAACCATGTATTTTACTTCGGCTTCTAAAGCCACTTTTAATTTGTTTTCGGCTACATAAGCCAAAATATTTATGAAAAAATCAGACTCATACATGGTCAATATCTTCGTCAGTCCAGCCAAATGGTCGTAATCCTAGAACGCCTTCCACTTTGTTTTCTTCCCCCATTATTTCTCTGTCCCATTAGAACCCAAAAGTTGGATGTATAGTCAAGAAATATAGGTCATTTTCTGTGTAGTGAATAGGTTTCGCTAGGTGGGTTACATGGCCCTATGTTGGCCAAGTTTCTATTAAAGTTTTTTTTATCCACATGGTTAATTTCTGCCATGTAGTAACTCTGATCTGCTTCAACATTCTCAACCATCCCATCTTCCCTCCAGATTGCTACCTTTTGGTGCATCGAAGTGGGGACAACTCCTATGCCATGGATCCACTCTCGACCTAATAGCATGATGTAATTTGTCTTCGCCTCAATCACCATGAACATAGTAGGTCTGATGATCAAACCCACAATGAGATCTAGTTGCACCACACCCAAAGTGTGACCTTTCTTTCCTTAATAGTTAGACAACACCATATTGTGTGGCTTAATATCTATATTGAACATACCAATTCTTTTTAACATGAACTGAGGCATCAAATTTACTGTTGCCCCACCACTAACCAAAATCTTGTTGATCTCAACTCCTTCCACCTTTCCTCTTATAAATAGAGGCTTCAGGTGGTTCTTCATTGACTGATCATGACGCTCGAAGAAAGCGTTATGCTCCTCCATAACGCCATTGTTCAAAATATAATAACACACATGTTTGTGCCTAGCCATTTCGGCTTCATCCATTTCTCCAGAATCCTCCATTTCCATCACTTGATCATATTCAAGTGGAAGTATAAACACCATGTTGCAATTGATATTAAGTGAAGACTGCCCATCTGATTCCAAATCATCTATCATCGCGTCGTCATCATTGGTTGGAAATTTTTGGCCTTTTTCCCCGGCTATCTCATTCTTTGGTGAAAAAGTTTTCTTTCAACAAGTTGTTTCTTTTCTGTAATGTTTTTTTGGGAGATACTGATTTCTGCTTGACTCCCTTATCTTCTTCTCTTCTAACTCCTTGTGAGCCTTCTTTATCCTTTGGTGCCTTCACCATTAGGTCTTGGTCATAGGTTTCTTTCCCTTGTAATTATCAGATCTAGATATTTATTGTCTCAATACTTGGAAATCCTTTATGTAAACAATTGATGATCCTCTTCCCCATTCGAAACTCTTCCATTTTCCTTGTCTTGCTCTTCTATTTTTATTTGGCTTAGTCCACTTATCAATAGGTATGTCTGCTAGGAGTTTGAAGGTAACCCTTCAATTTACTTTAGGATGTCGGTTGTCAGCCCTTCTTGGAATTACCCTCTTGTCGAAAGTGAAACTGCTATGTTGACTCCTCCAATTACCCATAGTTTTGGCATAATAGATTCGTTCGTACTCCTCTGAATCCTTTCTATCGTAGACAACATTGCACCTAGGGCACACTAAGTATTCTGATTGCATTTTATGGCAATGGATAAGAAAACCTAGCAAATTTTCACCAGATTTTGGGTAGACCATTTCCATCGAATCATCTTTCTTCCAACTGCCCCCAGTTCGAGCCTGTTGGGTTTGTTGATAAACCTCTTCTGCTTTTCGCTCATAAATGATACTACATCTTGGGCACATTAGTCCTTCAAAGTTCTTTTTGTGGCAGCGAATCAAATAATCTAGCAGACTTTCTCGGGCTTTCACATATGTATTGTTCAACAGGGAATTTTCCCTCTAGAGATGCCTTTCGACTTCTTCCATTTCAGGAGTAGGCTGGTTTAAGTCCACCATGTTGACTTCAAGATTAGGACAATCTGTAATCCTAATATTTTCAAACATGACTCTGAGATCTTCAGTGGTTTTCAACGCATTTGGGGAAACACCTTCTCTGATTTTGCCTTCGAATTTCAGGTTCATTAGACCTTCAGTAGTCTGGTGGACAGGTTGCTCGTTTAGGAGGCCCTTAGCAGCTTATGTTATTTTAGCATCTGGATCAACTTTGTCACCTATCTCCACCATGTTGATAAAAAATGGTTCACCATAGTTGGTCTCCGCTACATTTAAAGGATCAACATTAACCTTCATTGGTGGCTTGGTTTTGTCACCAAACTTTAATCTCCCTTCCTTGATCGAATTTTGAATCAGATCCCTGAAAAGGAAACATTGTGAGGTTTTATGGCCTAAGAAATTGTGATACTTACAAAAACCTATTTTCTTCCGTTGATCTAATGGAGGAATTTTAGCACCTGGTGGCCCTATCATTTGACCATCTTTTACTAATAAATCGAATATTTCGTCACATTTTGTGACGTTGAAGGTATAACTTCTTTTAGGGAATTTATCACTATTTTCAGGCTCGACAAAATTCTTGCCATTCGCAGGAGGCAGAACTTTACAAGGATGTGGTGGTCCTTGTTTTAGCTCAGAAAAATCAACCTCTACTCTTCGAAGTCAGTGAGTTCATCATAGGTTTATTGTTCGTCCTCCCCTAATTCGACATAGGCAACTATTTCCTTTCGATGGATCTTATTTGCGCTAGCCTTCTTAATCTTTAATCATTCCACTTGCCTAACACTATCCGCTAGTTGTGCCATGTCTCTTATGTAATGAGGATCCAACTTCTTTCTAATGGAGAAGTCTAATCCTCTTGCAGCCATCTCGACCAATTCATGTTCAGGCACTTGTGTAAAGCATCTTGCCTTTAATAAATCTAATTTATTGAGATAATCATCCACTAGTTCGTTGAACTTACGTTTGACATTTGCCAATTCGCTTAGACTTATCTTTGATTGTCCCACATAAAACTGTTCATGAAATAGTCTTTCTAAACGCGTCCAGTTTTGGATTGAATTTGCTGCAAGGGTAGTGAACCAAGTGAAAGCATTTTTTGTTAATGAACTAGGGAAGTATTTTATTCTTAAATTTTCATTTTTTCTATATCCCCAACTTTAATAAGATACTTGGCTATATGTTCAACAATTGATTCACTGATGTCACCAGAGAATTTTGTGAACTTTGGGACCTTCCAACCCCTGGGAAATTCAGTTTGCAAAATATATTCAGATAGAGGGGAAGTATAATTTGGCCTTCGAAGGCCAACATTTACACCATTTCACGCCATGATCCCTTCGACCATAGTGTTGCAACTGGTTTTTAATTCATGAGTCACCACCTTTAATATTTATCCTAAAGGAAGAGAGTATAAAGGAATAACCCTAAAGTTCAGAGATTCTAGATTTGGACTCAGTTCTAGACGAGGGGAAGGTGTTAGGCACCCCTTATCTACCTTATTCGTAAGGATACTAGGTTTAGAAGCGCATTGTTTAGGAAGTAGAGTTTTAATTATGATTTGGGGAAAAGGGGTTTAATATTAGTTAGAGGAACTCGCCACGATTTTAATTGTATGCCTATGTATCCTCTTAGGAGAAATCAGAGTCCCATTTCATAGTTCGCGGTTTAGTTTGTGTTTTTTATGGGTTGTAGAAATACCTCGAATTCTTTTTGAACCTAATCCGGGTTTGTAAATTGCGAAATCGTGGATATAGTTTGCAGTCGATAAAAGATATTAATATAACCCTTTTTGAAAAAAATATAAATTTGATTATATTAGTAAAAAAAATTGATTTGAGGTTGGTTGGTTGTTTTGATGTTTGATTGGTAGTGAATATGATACAGAGTGGAGGAAGTCTGATATAGTCTCCTCATCAAGTGGCCAGATATTGGCCACGTGTCACTCATTGGTGAATTGCTCGGGTTTTAATATTTTGGTATAAAACATTAAATCAACTTATATTGTGAAAAATATTTTTAAGTGCATGATTAAAAGAAAAATTTAATGCAATAATAACAATATATTTTTTACTTATGAATTGAGAATAATTATTTTGAATTTATAATAAATATACTATTAAAATATAAGTAAAAATATAAAAAACAATAATTATAATAAAATAATAAAAGAAAAATAAATAAAAATGTGGGCAAGAATTGGGGTGTGAGAAATAGGAGGGCCCAAGTCCAGATTTTGGGGTGTGAGAAATAGGAGGGCCCAAGTCCAGATTTTGGGCTTGGCCCTCTTAGCGTGGGGGTGAATTTATGGCATGGCTAGAAAAAAATAAAAAAAAGGGGGTTGGATGAGAAACGGGCCTGTCCCAAGAGGATTTGGAGAGTCCGTGTAGACTCTATGTGGGGGGACGCATGGGGATACCATGGGCACGCATGTGAGAGATGAGTGATTGAGATCGTGTGGTGATGGCTGAGTGTGCATGGTAGTGACTATGAGATGGCTCACACATGATTGCTACGATATTATATTCTTCATTTTTACAAGGCAATGTGTTATTATTCCCTTTAATCCTCACTCTCTCTCTCTCTCTCTCTCTCTCTCTCTCTCTCTCTTCACGCCTCATTCTCTTCTCTCACTACCCTTCTTCTTTGTGTAAACAGATTGAAACCCTAAAACCAAAACCCACACTCAGCGACGCTACCTCCTCTCTTCCCCTCCGCCTATCATCTCTCTCCTTCCAAAACCTTAACCCTTATACTATAACAGACACAAAGGATTATAGTAGAAACAAAAGTGGGGTTTTCTTTTTCAGTACCCCTTTTACGAATCTGTTCGCCCTCCCTTGATTTTGTCAATCTCCAATCCTTCCTCCTCATGTTTCAGGTTCAACAACAGTAGTGGTGATGATGGAGATGCGATGGCATGATGGATGGTGTTTCGAGGGTTTCGGATATCAAAACCCTATATTGAAGTGGCGATGGAAGATACAGACTCAACGACAACGTGAGCAGAATGAAGAAAGCGACGATAGCGAGAGTGAAAACGGCAAGGCCCTTACCTCGGTCAACCTTCCCTCCATTTTCAAATTTCTTTTTGTCTGTCAACCCTGTATTTTTGTTCTGTCCTCCTCTGTTCATCGTGCCTTGTAACCACCCCTTCTCTCCCTTTCTGTCATTTTCATTTTATAGCATTTTTACGTTTGTAAATTAGGGAATATAATTATGTCCATTACTCTATTTGACTGTCGTTTGATTTTACTGTAAACGCGTTGATTTTGTATTAAATTGGACAAAGATTTTATTTGTTTTGATTCCTTTTAATTCTGTTCCTGTATATGCTTCATTCTACATTGATGCTTTATTGAACAAATTAAGAAGTTTCTGGATTCGTCTGTTTTTTGTTCTTGTTTAATTTATGCAAAATAAAATTAATTTTGTTTCTATATTAAGTAAGATGTGCATTGATTCGTACAGTAACTGTAAAACAAAAGTTACCTCTCTTTGATTCAACTAGTGGTCTGCCATATGTTTTTTTTTGGACCGTGCGTTTTGGGCCGCTTACTCATCGTTTAAAACAAATATTTCTAAAATGTTTAGTCATTACAAAAACTGTTATAATTAAATTAATATAATATTTTAATTAAAATGAACATTAGCATGAAAATAATCAGTAATACCAAGTTAATAATAATAATGTTATAATAAAACAGTCTAAATTAAAAAACCAAATGGGCCTAACCGTTTAATTTATTGAGCTTAAAAAAAATATTGCTCCACACAATTTCTGACCCTAAAAAAAACTAAATGGTCCTTTATTGAAAAGCAATTTCATTCACACCTCCTTCGTTGAGTGATACACCCCTTTACTTATTTTAAAAACAAATCCTTAATAATTTTAGAGGGTTAGTCCCTAAAGTTTAATGGGCCATATGAAAAAAACAGATTTGTTCATACCTTCTTTAAAACAAATACACCTTCCTCAGCTTTGAAATGGACTTTTTTAGAAACCTAATGGGCCATCAGATATTGATGGCCCCTTTGGGGTCAATCACACCCCTCTTCCATGTTTTGCACCCCCATAGAAATAAAAAATAATGTGATTTATTGAAAAAAGAAACCTAAATATAATTTTAAAGGTAGGGGAAATATGAGGTATGCCACATAGCAATTAGGTTATTATTTCCTACCATATCATTACGTCGAATACCTTGGACAATTTCGTCAGCCTCCTAGTTTCGATTTACCATCACCATCCTTCAAGGTTCCTCCCTAGGGATTTCCTGTTGAAATCTTGGTTGCTCGATTTGAGCCCCTTGATTATCTTCGATAGCATGTTGGATAATTGTCTGGGCTTGGTTAATCATTGGATCTTCTTGGAACATTATTCCCTGATTCTCCCTTATCCATTCATGCTGAGGGTGTCGAATTGTTTTCCTCGGAGCCCCAAAGAAATATACTATTCTTCCCATATGTGCAACCATTTGCTGATTCACCTGTGCATTCTGCAAATTTGTCTGAGTAGAATTTTGAGTTAAATGTTTGAAAATTTCACACATTTGTTGGGCGAGAATCCAACCATTTCGTGGTTACTGTCGTCCATCTATTTTCTCCATGCTGCTTGCAAATTAGTTGTAAGATAAGGCAATTGGGAAACATATCATGGTGGTTGGGTATTTTGACCTGTTATTTATGGAAGACCCTGACCCTTGTAAAGGAAAAAATGTTAATGTTAAAGGGTTTATATATGTGGATGTATTATTATGCAAACCTACTATAAATGATGTTGGCATGCAATAGATTGGATCTGTCATTGGAATCGAAACTCCTGGCACATATGTTCTAGACATGTTAACCCTTGTGGGTATTGGGGTTATAGGCTTCCCTTGGCTGGCTGCAGATGTAATAAACGATATACTTTATGTATTTGACGGTATAGCCATTGTCCCTTGGTTTGCATGTGTGGCTATAGAATCCTAAGTCGAAGTAATTCTCGTTGTTCCTTGACATGTTGATACAACTCTGGTTGTAGTAGAAGCGACTGTGACCCCCCCCCCCCCACCCCGTTGAAGGAGGAACTTGTTCTGCGTTGTTACTGGATGGGTTAACCATTTTCCTATTGTACTTCCCTTTTGGTTTAGGGTCGTTAGTATTGGCTAACTTTCCAGTTCTCAAAATCATGTAAAATGTTAAGAAACAAGTTATCAAAAAAATGACAAATGAATAAAAAAGAAATTCTAACAAAGAACTAGATACAGGTCCCACAGGGCGTGCCAATTTGTTTACCTTGGATTTTGGTAAACAACCGTTGGTCCTCCAAATCGAAAATAGAGAATTTGGTTAGTTGAAGGATCGACCAGATTGATCCTAAGGACCTGTGTTTAGTTCGATTTCGTTTGTTTCTTATTTTAGATCTCTTCTATTGAGATTGTGATCTTGAATGTTGTAATATAATGCTTTAAATTAAAGACTGGTATGTAAAAGACTTTTTTCTTAAATTTAAAAGGAATATATAAAACTTCGATTGAAATTGAATAACAATAAACATAAAACTGGTGCATCATACGTACATTCTCTCAAACTCTTTTCTCGAATGCTTGATACTTTGAGTAGTTCAGAGTAATTTGTACAAAAGATGTTCACCTCTTAAATCCTAACATAAAGATCCTAATTTATACTACTTCGACCCTAACAGTCAAATAACCAAACAATGCCACATTTACTATTGCATGTTCTTCGATTTTCTTCATACCTCCACGAGTATTTTCGGATAAGATTAAAATTTCAAATTTGAAAACCTTTTATATTTCGAAGCACCAATCGTTTTTCGTAACAGTCAAAGTATCCTTTCAAAAATACTTCAAATTACATCCAATGGACTCACCAATGAATTTCTTTTATAATACTTAGTGATACAAGATTCTCATTAATCTCACCCTATCAAAAACATCAAGATAATCTCTTCAATATTCTTCTTTCAAACTAAATATCTTCTGATTTTGTCTTTCTAGCTCAATAATAATATAATCGAAATTCCAAGGTAACACATGGTCATTAAAATAACTACCTTAGAAACTAGCTGTAATACGGTGGGAGAACTGACTTTACTGGTTTTGCTTTTTATCGAAAATGTCGTGGTTAGCAAGAGTCGCCATAAACTTTTCTTTTATCCAACAAAGGAGAGGGTGAAAAGAATAGGAAAGACCTTGTTAAAGATTTTGAGTTCAGAGGGTAGGTAATGGAAAGGGAAGGTATTAGCACCTTTTCCATCTGTAGTTATCTATGGGCTCTTAGTTGCCAGCTCACTTTGAAAATGCTTTTGGGTGTAAGTGCATTTGAAAATATTTTTGAAAAGATGCCTAAGTGCGGCGAACTTTGTAATGTTTCTCGTATCATTGAGAACGTATACAAAGTGTTTTGTCTTTGAAAATATTTTAAAGAAGAGTTTGTTTATGTGTGAAAAATTGTTTGTTTGTTTTTGGTGAGAAAGAAACTATAAGCGATCTACCTACTCGAAAGATCTTTGTTCTTTTTCTCTTTTACTTTAGATAATGCTATACTAACATTAGTCGGTAGGTAGCCCTATTGTTGTACCCCAAAATTTTCCCTCTCATGTCTCAAGGACTCTTAGAATTACTTCAGTCAAGTTGTAAACCTCAGATCATAATTTTCTAAGAAGAATCATTCAAATTGTCAAAAGGGGGAAAAATGAGCAAAATCAGAGTTTCAGCTGGAAAAAGTCAACCGGACGCTAAAAAAGTCAAACTTTGACTTTTTGACCAAATTTGAGTCCCAAAAATCACATTATGTCAAGACATCCAAAAATATGAAATTTAATCATCAAAAATCAAGACAATCAAAATCCAACTTTGCAAGACATTGAAAATTTTCTAAGTATTTTCTATACTTGGTTAATTTCATTTACTTCATGGCTTCTTTTACTAAACTTATAAATAATTCAAGATGATGCAAGTAATTCAAGTTATTAGAAAGTGACATTTTTGAAAAATTACAAATTCTAAAACTATGTCTTGTTTGAATTTTCTCAAAAAAACCTTGCCATAATATTTTTACCCTTGACATAATGTGTATAAAATATTCCACAAGACCAAATTTGTGTCATGCTACAAATTAAACTGTCCAAACCTGCATCATAACAACCTTGAGATTGCACCAAAATGGCAAAAGAAATTTGTGTGAAGAAAGTATCAAAGCAGTAGGAAAAAACAATTCTAATAACTTATTTGGTTTCCCCCCTAAACCTCAGAGAAAGGTCTACAAAAAGGACTGTCTCATAAGACATAAGGGTTGGATTTTTTTTTGGAAGAAGGAGATTGAGAGAGATAATAGAGAGTTTTGTTAAGCAGAAAAACAATATCCTTTGTAACCTTGACTAACTCATTTCCAAGCCAGTTATGTTCTTGTTCAAAACAAGACCCCAACCCATTACTCCACCATACAAACTCTCTCATAAACCAAACACCTCATCACATACAAAGATTGTCTAAACATAAAAACAGTCCCTGTAGTACTATCATCTTCACCCTCAAAACACCAAAAACAACACAGTACAATTTAACTTAGTTTCAATAGCCTGGAGCAGCTTCTTGAAGATTTATCAGTGTCATCACAGCATCTGGAAAACATTCACATTTAAAACAGCCAGTGCAGCCCAAAGGTAAGTCTTCTTGACTTGATATCTTTTCACACATCATTGATGATTTGCTTTTGAAGATAAGATGTAGTGTTTTATTATCCCTTTGAATTAGTCATTTGCTTATTGTTTAGGCTTATCAAATCATTTGTTGTTTATGTTTATCCATCATATGCTGTAAACTAACCTGTACAGACAAGAAAAACCATGTTTAAGGAAAAAAATGCAGGATGAGTCGACACGTACCCACATGCGTCAACCCTTTCTAGGTGAAAAACTGAGTATGAGTAGACACATAGCCTTATGCATCGACTCATACTGTTAAAAATCACCAAAACAGAAACGTGAAAGATACATGAGTCAACACATACGTGTTTCGTGTCGATACAAGAGGAAGTATGAGTCGACATATCTCAGTATGCATCGACTCATACTGAGTTTGGTCAAGTTTTATAGGGGCAAGGAAACGCTATGTGTTAATGCATAA